CTGAACACAAAAATCAGAGGTGTAACCCCAGGATACAAATGAGATCACATCCTTTGCAAAGAGCTCTGTCTCCTACCCGAACAGGGAATTTTCCTTTGAACACGACTTATGGGATCATGACTGAGGAACTTACACCCCAGGTAAGGAAGAGAGTTGAAGCCAAAGAGGTTCCGAGGGTCCTGAGTCCAGGAATATAACGGAAATGTCTCTGAGGCCAGACAAGCTGTGTGAAGGTACCTGATGTTTATGAGTTGATTCAGATAAACAAACCAAAGCAAAATGAAACAAAAACCTGCAATAAGATGAATACCCCAATCCAAACCAACGGTGTGACAGCCTATTGGGATGTCTAAGCATCCAGATGGACACACTGTTAGGTTTCAACTCTTCCATTTCACAGATTGGAAACTGAGGCTGACAGGGAGGAAGGGGCTCAGCCCAGAACAAGTGACCAAATGAAGGGGCTCCTCCCTTTCAGGTTTCTTTTTTGCTGTGTGACCACTGAAATGCATCCAGCACTATCTTTTCTAGAGCCTCACATACATTCTTCCACCGAGTCCCCCTGATAGCATACACAGCAGTTATGATCACATGGATGATATGTGGAGTGTTTGGGAGCTCAGTTCACTCACCTGAGTCACAAACTCCTCAGGGGCCCAAACCTGGCATTGATGCATCCCAGGGGATAATGTCCTTTTGAATTCTATCCTGTGCTCTGCTTTGAGATCTGACTTTGGTTGACTCAGAGTGGCATAGGATGTCCATCACTAAGAGGGCTATGTAAACTGGAGTGCCATCTCTCATGCCCCTGTCTCTGAGAAGTCTCCTCTGATGCGCTGTCTCACACCTCTCCTATAGAAATGCCACACCTGGCACAAGGCTTGCTTGATGCCCCCTGCATGGTAGACTTCAGCCTTCCTCAGCATTCCCTATTTCATCAAGTGCCTGTCTTTGGGGTTCAGCCCTGGATATGCCACATAATGCTAACCACATCCCGTCAGACACAAGCTAATGTGTTCTGTGGAACCACCCATGGTAACTTCCCTAATTCTCAGCTTATCGTCACTAAATACGATTATGATAAGATGCATGCTGGAGAGCCTACTAATGATGCTCACATTGGGGGCTTAGTGGCATTTTCTGTTGAACCATTATCTACATTGAACGGATCCAAGCGGGCTCAATTTCCCAGCATGGCAGGATACTGCTCTCTCTCTCCTCCCTAGGATCAAAAGTGCGAACTCAGAAGACACACAACAAGACCTGCCAAGGCAGGGTAGAGGCTGAGCTGAAAGCCAGTGCTTTGGTGAATTAAATGCAGTTATTTCCTTGATTCTGAAGTTATTCCTGATGGGTCACTTTTAAAAGGAATTTTCTCTCTGAAAAGATTAGCCACTGGAGTGATGCTTAACATTAGATGGGAATTCAACACTAATGCCAGTAAGACCAAGGTCAGAGGAATCCCAAACAACTTACTAACTTACAGCAACAATCAGAAGAGAGAATTAAATTCTCTTTCAATTCCAACTCTCTAGGCCTTCTCTATTCTGTGGTCCACATGAGACAGCATCAAGTTTCAGACAGAGCATGAGGACATAAGGGTCTACCCCAGCTTTGTCAGAGATGGACAGTGTGACTTTTACCAGTCTCATGCCTTCTCTGGGCCTCAGTTCCCCCTTTGTATAATGGGGGTGATAGGCAGGAACCAAGGACCTTGGAATCTCCTGGAGGAATCTTGCTTAAGTGCAGACACTCCATGTCCCCAACTGGGGATCCAGACTCTGCAGACAGAAGGGTCTGACATTTCTGCTTCCAGGCTGTGGGCTGTGACATTGCCGGTCTGCTGGGCTGGCATTTGATACTCGCTAGATTAGATGATGCCTAAAGGCAATCAGATATCAGAACAAGGGAAACGGGCTTGTCTGTAGCCTCTATTATGTTATGAACCACACAGCCCCATGGGCCACTCTGGGATGGGAAAGCATGCCCCCTTGTGCAAACAGTCTGGGTGAAAATTGGTCCTGAAATGCACAGTTCAATTTCTAAGTATGCCAGGTTTTCCTGTGAGTATGTTCCTTAACTATGGCTGTAACAGCACTCCAAAGCTCAACCAGCCTTGTCTAGCCCTGCCCAGACCTACCGAACCCAAGTGACAGGTGGCGCACTGAGAGCTGTCATAAGACATCCCAAGACACACACAGAAGAAAGGGAAATCAAACACATTTTCTCATGCTTCCAAAACCCAGGTGAGCTGACTCCCAAGTCACCTGTGTCCTGGAAAACCAGCAACACTGCAGGCAGGGAGCACTTGGACTACTGTCTCTTAGTACCTTGGACAGCTCCTGTAGCTCTCTACAGAGAACACCTGGGGACTGTCTAGATTTTACACCACCACTCCCAGTCTCGCAGCTTTCCCCAGAGGTCGCTCTATAGAAGACAGAGCCTTTAAGTCCTGGCTTTGGGCATTTAGAGAAAATAAAGAATTTGCAGGAAGAGCAAAGGGCATGTTGCTCTAGACATCAAGTCTACTTCATAGACTTCCCCCAACCTAGGTTTCCTTTACTTTCTTAAAATTAACAACTGTGACATACCACTTGTCTCCAGAGCCCCTGTTACAGATATCACAAAATATTCAAAACAATGTGTCATGGGAACTATTTGTGTCACTTTACAGATAATAAAACTGAAGCTCAGAGACTGTAAGTGACCAAGTGAGGGTCACACAGCCAGAAGCACACTCAGCTTAGCCGCAGACAAAAGTCTCCAACAGGTTTCTATTGCACTGTTTTCTCTTTCCTGTGTGGTCTGGGACTTGGGGGAGGGTGAACCAGAATTTCTGGAGTCTTCTTGAGGTATCTGATTGGGCAGACACATCCAGGATTGAGGCCATGCATACAAAAGTGGGGACAAAGTGCTTCCCTTTGGGGACATGCCAAGACTCTCAAACCAGGCTGCCGAGACTCTGGAGGGCCAAGAGTGAGCCTGACCCATACTCCATTCTGGCGAACACCCAAGATTAAAAAAATCCAACCCAAACAACACCCACCAAAGCAAAAACAAAAATCCAACCAAGAAATTGATTCTCTTGTGAGCTGTGCTAATGTTTTCGTTTGATTTTCTTCCTTCAGATTTGCTGTTTGCTCTGATCCCAGTTAGACCTGACACTGGAAAAGTGGTTACACTTCCTCCACAACCCTCTGGAGTAGTGGCTGGTGGGGTCAGCTCACTCCTGTCTTCCCCAGTCCTGGGCAGACAAATTTGTCTGTACCTCACCCGTCACCTCACCTTTGGGCACTTTACGGTGTCATCTAGTGCCCTCTTTGTAGCCGTGTGTGTGTGTGTGTGTGTGTGTGTGTGTGTGTGTGTGTGTAGGGGCTGCCAGGGTGCAGAGTTGGACAAGGATGGCAAAGAATTTGCTCCCAAAATGTGACGCATTTCCCTAGGGGCTGCTTGGGCCATTGGGGAGATGGAGATGGCCCTGGTCTTACCCCCCAACCCCCACCTCCATCCACTTCTGTCTGCAGGAAATCCTAATCCCTGGAGACTGCAGGATCTGTCCTGGGGTTTCATAAGAACCAACTACCAGCAATATTTCACCAGCGCATGGAGCACCTGTCCACAGCTTTGTATTTACATTTAGCATGTTTTAAAGGTCTCCAAACAGCACCAGGAAAACAGTTGCTTCTCTATCTTACACGGAGGCTTACAGAGGGAAGAGACTTACCATGAAGGAGTAGCTCTAGGGTTATAATCCCAGGGGCATCCCTCAAAAGTCCCCTGCCCTGGCTATACACCATCTGTGTGTATCCCTCCTCTCCAGCACCTGCTCGGACAGCGCCGTGCTGGGTATGCGGAGCAGCGGGCATTGGGGCCACCTTGCCCTAGGGGTGGAGGCAGGCACCTCACATCTTGTCCCCTAAGGCGCAGTTCGAGAGCCCTGTGCAGACTCCAGGACCTAAATCCCCACAGGTGGGGAGGGAGACTGGATCTCTTAGAGACCCTGCCTTAATCCTGGGCCACTTGGAAGTAAAGGCATTGCCAGCTGTGCATGGCGGGGTCTCTGAACATTCAGGAGCGTGCCCCTAGCCACAGGCTCTGGGGACCCATCAGGGGCGCTGGGGACCTACCAGGAGCTCTCAAGAGCCTCCTCAGCTGAAGGAAAGAGGGATGTAACTTCCCAGGTTGGGTGAGCTGGCGCTGCTTCACCTGATCCTGCCAGGCCCGCGGGAGCGGGAGCGCAAGGCGGATCCAAAGTTGGAGGCAGCCAGAGCCGAGGTCTAGTCAGTCCGGATGCTAGAGTCGCCATCGTGGTCCCCGAGAGTGGCAGGAGAGAGGAGGAAAGACTGGTCAGTAGCAGGAGGCTCAAAGTTGAGGTCAGGCATGTGTCGAGGTCTCCAGGGTCATGTGTCCCCAGCCTTGGGCTGCCCGCCCGGGGTCACGACTACCACTGCTGACTGTCTACTGTGACCATGGCAACAGGGTTGGGGACACAGAGGGAAGGAGAGGGAGGGTCCCCTGCAAAGTTGGAGCAGGATGGCGGCATCCACCTCCTGGGGGATCGGAGCCCAAGCCCAGAGCTGTGTGGAGACCCAGGCCGCTCGAGCCAAGTTGGAACGCGCGCAAAGCCCGCACCTAGCGCACGCACGGCGGGAGCGGACAGCGCCAGGGACAGGCGAAGGGACTCGGGACACTAGAGTCCAGGGCACCGGAACTCACCTGCCACCAAACCGCGAGACTCCGGGGCTGCTGATCGCGCAGATCGCCCGCCACTCGCTCTCCCGCGCCTCCTTGCGCTGCCCGCGGCCGCTGATCCCGAGCCTAGCTCGGTGGGATGCTCCAGAGAGCCCGGCGCAGCCACTCAGCTCAGAACTGTGCGTCTCTCACCTCCCGGATAGCTCCCCGCCCCTCCCCAGCCCCAGGCTCCCACCTCGGTCCGCCTCAGCCCGGCCAAGTTCAGGACCTACGGCTGCGGGCGTCCCCACGCGCGCGCTCCAGCTCACCCGGGCTGCCGGTGGTGGCCGCTGCCGCCCCTCAGCGCCAAGTAACTGCTCGGCCGCCCGGTGCTGTGAAAGCAACATCAATATGCAGGGACCGAGCTGCGAGCTCAGCGAGGGTCGTGAGGGGGAATTTATTTCTTAATGTCCCTGCTTTATCCTATCATCGCTGAACCGAATTAGCGGTGACGTCCAACCGGCTGGTTTATGGGCGTGGGGAGGGAGACGTCGCAACCCTCATTAAAAGAGCCGCTCTGGGCTCGGAATCATACATCTTTTATATAACCTAATTTCCATTTTTTTCTATGAGGAAAACACACACACAATGACAATTTTGGGGCGCCTGGAGGGGACTAGTTGTAGTAGCCACGGGGGTGGGGGTGGGGGTGGGAGGCTTGTTTGGGGCCCCCCCGAGAGAGCCCCAGGGAGGCAGAATGGTTATTTCTGTCTATGTGGCCTTGGGAAAGCATTCCTTAATGGGACAGTGGAAGGTACAGTCCCTCTTGCTGGACAGCACCCAAAGCCCCCTGGGTAGCTAGCAGGAGAGTCAATGCTGAGTTCTGGCCCTGGTTCTTAGGTGGACAGGCAGAAGGAGTCATCTAGTTTTGGAAAGGTTGCCTGGTTCTGGTGCATTCTGCAACAGAGGCATCTATGGTGGTGGTGGGGAGCGGTGACAGATGGGGTCATATTTCCCTATGGCTGGGAGACCTCAATGCCAGGAGAGGCCAAGAGCTGGGTTGGGGGAGGGGCAGACATGGAGAATGTGCTTCCTTCCTTTCTTAGGGGCTCTAACATATGGGTAACCATATAAACCAGTCTCCAAAGCTGTCTCTTCCCAGGCAGATTGCACAGGCGTTTTGCATTTAACTGTCACTGTTGCTCACATACTCTTGGAAAAGCAGTGTGTGCGTGCATGTGTGCGTGAGTGCGTGTGTGTGTGTGTGTGTGTGTGTGTGTGTGGTGTTGGGGGCGAACTCAAGGAAAAAGAAGACGATTCAGACCCAAACACATAGACTCAAACACACACTCAGACACCTGGCTAGTGGCTTGATCTCTCCTCAGTCTTACCAAAGGCACAGGCACACTCAGACTATGATATACAAAGAAGCAAAGCACCAAACCACCCCACTTTGTCACCAATAAATGCTCCTCAGATGCCTTGCATGTCAAGCCTAGGGGAAGGGGGGGTGTGACTTTGAGGGGAAGGAGGGGCTGGGAAAGGGAAGGAGGCATAAAAAAAAAAGCTGAAGTCTATGTTAAGGGAGGGTCCAAGAAATACCATCAGCCACCAGGGCTCTGCCACTTCCGGGCTGTGCTAGGTGTGTCAGATCCACAGCCTGCTTCCAGAGCCTGACATGGGCCTTGGGTGGCTGTGAGGATGTCACAGTAAAATGATGGTGGTCAAGCTCCCAACTCAGTGCCTGGCATATAGTACACACTCAGAAAACAGCAGCCACGGAAGGTGAGGTTAATGAGAATGAATGGGATATTGGCTGGATGGGTGTCCTAGGAAGGGGAGGATGGAGTGAGTCCTCACAGCCTGCACCCTTGCACCCTGGGCTTCTCCTGCCTGAACCCTTTCAAAGTTGAGCACTGGGTTTCTGTGGTGTTGGGTCTCAGAACACTGTTCCCTCAATTACCATGGCAACTGAGGAAAATCAGGAAGCCAGAAGGGAAGCTGCTTCTCTACTGGGCTGGCGGTTCACCTGCTCCAAACAGAGCCGCATGTCTGCCTGCCTGCTGTGTGGGAGTTGGGGCCAGAAGAGGGCCAAAGCGAATCTACTGTCCTGGCTTCAAGACTGAAGAGTGGTCAATAGGACCAGCACAGCTGTGACTGATGGGGTCAGGGCCAAGGCTGGGCTGTGCCTACAGAAGGCAGACCTGGCCTGAGTTTGGGGAGAAGGGGACAGAAATCCCACCACCCCCAAGTTTGTTGTCGTTGCTAGGCATCCTAGTGAGAGTGAGGGTAAGGCAGGGCCATTAGGCTCTTGAGATGGATCTGGAAGGACAGAGCCTCTGAGCCCAGGGGAGGAGCCTGCCACCATGGAGAGGGGAAAAAACACAGAAAGACCAGCAGAAGAGACAGGAGAGAGAAACAGAGACAGAAATAGAGGTAGGCACTTATATGTAGAGAGATGGAGGGACAGCAACAGCCAGCTTTGCCACTCACAATTTCCACAGGGTTGGGGGGGGAGCTTGTGTCGATACCAGCTGTGGTGGTAGAAAGAAATGTGGCTCCCTCATGTTGATCATTTCTTTTTGCTGGTTTTGAACCAAGCCTTTTACTTGGTTCATTGAATTGTCATCAAAATGACAACAATGACTCCCTTCCTCACTCCTGCTTTCCAGAGGGGGCAGTGCCTTCCAGAGAGCAGCTGTAAGAATCCAGGTCTTGACTAGGGGCATGGCTCAGAGGTAGAGAGCTTGCCAAGAATTCACAAAGCCCTGAGTTCTGTCCCCAGCACTGCAAATAAACAAATGACAAAATAAAATGAAACGCAAGTCCCAGGACACCAAAGTGCCCCACCATTTGTAGAGAAAGAGAGGGGTGAAGTCAGAGTCAAGGTGCTAGGGGATGTTGGAAGGTTGGGAGTGTGGTTCCTGGTGTTGGGGACTTGACTCACGGTGTTGCAGAACCTCCACTGTAATACTAGGTAGAATTAATACACACAGCAGGTATACATAAAAGACCAGACCCTTTTGCCATTGACCAGTGGCCCCAGGCATAGCGACAGTCCCCTGAATGCTCCTTCAGTGTGGTGACCCGGAAGCTGTCATGGACATTCATGCAAACTTGATTCCACTTCTAGTGTTTAGGGGTATATGATGGTCTTGCCCCCCTCTCCAGGGATGTGGCAGGACTGAACTTGTTGAAGCACATCTAGGCATCCAGGCCAGACGTTGCAGAAACAGCTACCTCAGGGCCTCCGTTCCACTCTACTCCTGACCCCAGTCCCTGCACAGATGATAGTTAAAGAGGCTGTCCCCTGCCTCCTCTCTGAACCCTCACCCACTGGTCCTCAGCTCAGAGGTGGCCCAGGGGAGCCAAAGGACGAGGGACTTGGTTTGCTCAGTGGACGTGGCTGCCACGGAGGGGCAATACATTATCCAGGGCTAATGAAAACATAATTATCTTCCTTTTGCTGCAGAGAGGGGCTAATTTAATAGGCTGCGATCAAAAGGCATCTGCTGAATTCACCCTTGGCTGAAAATGAAGGGCCTGGGCAGGGGAGGGAGCAATACTGGCCTGCTAGCAGCTGTGTCCAGGCTGCAGGGAGCCCAGGAGAGGGTGCTCAGCAACCCTGGGTGTCTACAAATGCACAGATCCAGGGGCTACTTGCCTTCTGACAGCTCTGGGGCTCCTCTTTTGCCACTTGGGTCCTCACCTTCCTTATGGCATTATTTCTTCTTCGAGGTCAGATGAAAGAACATGGGAGGAGGGGTCCCAGTGTATTCTACCTGTTTAATAAAGTAATCTCCTCTCTGGCTGGGCAGGCTGTATTGAGACTTGGGTCTTTGAAGACACCCTTTCTCTGAGTTTCCACTACACTCCTAACACACAGTACATGAGAATATCTACAAATTCAGTGTTAGACTGGGAAGAAGTCCACAAGGGTGGAACAGCCTCTCTCACCTAACAGTCCAAGCTAATGATTTTTAAAGCTCATTCAACAAGGTGACCATCCCCTGAGAACCTATTGAAATGCCAGCTCTGGGCTTGCTCCAGATTCTCTAGAACAGACACTTGGGGGCCCTGGAAGGTGTGTGTGTGTGGGGGGGAAGAAAGGTGGGGGGGATGGCTCATTGTATTTGAGATATGCCTACTTTCTGTTGGTTTGCAAGTCTGAGAATATCAGCATCAGTGAGAAGTAAAACAAATGCCTGTTTGAGCGAGTGAATGAAGAGCTGAGCATTAAGCTGAGGTTCATTTACTCAATGAAAACTTCCTTATTAGGCACCAACAGTATACCCAGCCCCATGCAATGAAGTCCTTGAATTCTCTCAGCCCCTCCTTTGTCCTCCACTTACAACTCCCCATACCTCAGTTCCAAGAAATGCCCCTCTGTTTTATCTCATTGTCCTAAGTTACAGGCCCCGCAAGGGTGACTGACCTAAAGATGCCCCTCTTCCAAAGGCACACAGATCCTCTCTGTCTCAGAAGTAACCTGAGCCACCCAGAGCTCCTGATTCTGGAAAGGAAGTTAGCTTCTGAGCCTCCCTCTGGTGCTTGCCTGGGATCAGGTCAGATATTCAAATGTGCTGGTTACCAAACTCCATGGTCGTCTGTCTCTTTTGCAGTTAGAGAAAGGGGAGGTCTAGGAGATGCTGCCTCCAATCCTGGCATGGTACCCAGGGAGGCCAAAGTCTAGGAAAGTTTCAGAGCAATCCAAGAGCACTGCCTGTGGATGGCTCCTCAAGTTCCTCCTGTCTCCCAGATCTTGGATCATAAGATGGGATAGGCTTTCACCTAAGTGGCCTTGGGACCTGGCAAGCCAGACAGGACCCAGGATTGGGAAGATAGTTGTTTGAGAGGCTGGAGTCCCTAGGGGAGGAAGGGGTGTTACAGTCCCTGAAGATGTCAAACCCTGTTTTTAAAACTGGCAGAGATAAAGGAGAGATCAATCCTTTAAGGCTTAAAGGAGCAGCCTGGGCATAAGAAATATCAGGACACTTGGTTTTTAGACCTAATCCAGCAGCTTGATGTCTGGATTACAAAGGGGAGCTTAACTTGAGGATGGCCAGCTCCCTGAGTTATATGCCAAACACAGCACACAAAGGGCTCACAATATCCAGTGGCTTTTTAAAGGGTGCTGAGACCTTGTAAAAGTTAAGGGCCACACAGTCCCTAAAGAGGCAATTTCCCTTTAGAGAACCCTGCTGGTGAGTCTCAAGCTGCCCCTTGCCAGCACAGCAGAGAGGCAGTTCCCAGAATGGCCGACAGATGGCGCCAAGCATTCACTGTAGCTGTCCTGTTTCCTGAGCCCTGCCAGGTGGACTAAAGCTTAGCATGCTCAGCTTGGGGACCAGGGACGTGGGGCCTGGGTTCTGGCTAAGCTGGGTGGACTTGGGTGGTATGTGACAGCTGGGCCACCCTGGGGACTGTTTATATCTTATGTCCCAGCCTTCTCTAGTAACTTCCTGTTCTTTTTCGTG